AAGGTAAAAATAGCAAAGTTTTGAGGAATTTTTTGGGTTTAAGGAATGAATTCTGGGTTGGTAGTAACGATACTGGTTAGTAGGTACCGATACTACAAGGCAATTTATGAGAAATTTATGCATAGGGTATCAATATTGCATGAACAATATCGATACCATAAGGAAAAAGAGCAAGAAAACTTCATGAAGTATCGATACTGAAGTGATAGTATCGATACTAGAAGTATCGATACCAATGTGGAGGGTATCGATACCAGGCAACATCGAAGCTAATTTTGGTATCGATATCGGGGTAGGGTATCGGTACCCTAGCATAGAAGTATCAGTACTGTGATGGTAGTACTGATACTACTTAAGTTGGAAAGTGGAAATTAGTGATTTATTTAGTTTGCTTTGATATGAATCTTGTCAAGTAATTAAAATCCCAATATTCATTGGATTATATTTGTGTAGATATCGATCGAAAGCAAAGTTCGGATAGGCCGTCAGAGTAAGAATTACGAGAATGAAACAAGAGATTGATATTGGCTAGTAAACCAAGGTGAGTACATGATATTAAGTGTAAGTATGCTATGGAATTAAGACTTGCAATCAGTCTAATTTTATAATAGACTAGATTAGTACAAGGATACAAGCATGTATAGCATATGAATGAAAGTGTATGTATCATAAGTTATTGCATAAGTTGCATGATATACTATGTATGTTAAATGATATAATTGAATTATGTGATTATGTGAAAAATGATATTAACTATATGAGAATATGTATATGATTATGAGCTATGTGATAAGACGTTATGTGATTAAATGATCAAGAGATATAAGCTATGTGATATGTGACATGTGAATCATATGGAAATGATCTACGTGTAAATGAACTATGTGACTATTTGAATGTGTGATAACATAAATAATAATGCCCATGTTATGTGTTATGAGAGCTAGGGGTATAGTTGGCATGCCAAGAGTCGATGGTTCTACGTGGTCCTTCAGGACATATATGTAATCCTTTGGAACATATATGTGGTACTTTGGTACACTTATTTGGTCCATTGGAATGTGTATATGGTTCTTAAGGAGTGGTCATTCGAGACATATGTGATATGTGGTCCTTCAGGACATAGTGGTTCTTCGGGACATAGTGGTCCTTCGAGACAAATCCTACGTGCCCCTAGTGAGAATTTTACGAGTTGTGGTGACAGCATATGTGCACAACCTCTATGTACTCACATACCTTAAGTTCTCAAAAGTATACACATGGTGATATATGCCTTGAAATGTGAAAAGTATTATTAAAGTTATGTGATGTGATATGCATTGTTAGTTTTAAGAGTATAAGCTTATATGAATGAATGATAAGAATGTTAATTGAAAATAATGATATGTGTGCATATAAGTTTGTGGTGTATGAAATATACATGCATTTGTTAAGTAGTTATATTTTCGATTAATGGTTACATGTCTCACTAAGTCTATGACTTAGCGTGAAAGTGTTTTACACGTAGGTGCTGATAAGCAAGAGGATCAAACTTAGGACCAACAGAACAAAATATCTTCACTCGAAGATCAGATCAGAAATATTTTGTAAAGTACATCTTTTTATGTAATAGAAATGTTGGCATGTAAACAAAGTAGTAAAGTATGTATGCTCTGATCGAATTTGGTAATTTGAACATACTTATGTAAAAAGTTAACTTTATATTAATGAAAGTTTAAATTTTCTATGGTTTTTATAAAAATATATGTTTTGAGTAGTCAACGTGACACCTCGGATTCGTATCCGAGTCAGGTACGGGTTGGAGGTGTTACATAAAGTTTGTAATAAAGTGACACATACTTTGGCTAAATGACTTTCCGTTATGAAAATGCCTTATATTTTGACTCTGTTTGTCTCGAGATTATTACGTCTGTTGTATCTAATGATTTTTCCTCAAGTAATATAAGGTCCAAGGATTCTCTTTTCCCCTTATAGGTCTTAGAAGAGGTTTTTAATGAAAATTGTTTTCTTTTAAAAAATGTTATATATTATATATTTTTAAAATATTATAATTTTTTTATAAGTAATTATTTTATAACCTATTATATTTATTTATTTTTTTAATTTTTTAAAATAGCTTCATTATTTTTATTGTTTATATTTAATAATTTAATTTTTACTTTTAGTATTTTTATACTTATTTTTTTAAATATTTGAATAATTTTATATTTATAATTTAAAATAACTTTTATTTTAAAAAATAAACTCTTGAACTTAAAACCCCAATTTGACCCTCAAAGAAAAAAAAATCAATTTAGACTAATCTTCCATGTCATCCACCAGTTCAGCTAGTATGGACTATCACATTAATATTGTAACATTTAATGACGGAAAACTACTTCAAATACCACTCACCTTTAAGCTCGGGCTCGTGTATACTATTGACGTTTCAATTTTAACGCTGACGTTTATGTTTAACTACAATTATGTCACTTTGCCGTTAATCCATTAATGCCACAATGACATGACATCTCTACGCTGTGACGGTGATGATGTGGCTCCGTCATTGAAACGAGGTCGTTTAATTTGCTTACTATGTGATTCGAACCAAGGACCTTCAAGAACTATTGTCAAACCCCAACCAACAAGGTAACTTAAGAACTTAAATTATTAACTAAACTAATATATATGTTTAATAGTACAATATACTCCACGAAATGCCAAGCTTAGTGAAATCATATATTTTAAAACAAAAATTATGATTGATATGTTACCTTTAAAGAATCATAAACATCAACTCTCTCTCTGCTTTCTGGATGTTCATGACCTGACAAAAAATATAAGAATCACTAACAAACAAAGATTGAAGTCGTCACCGTCGATATTATTATTTTTAAATAGTTTCACATTCAAACCTGTAATATTAGCATTAGGGTGCGTTTAGTTTACGGAATGTAAGATTATCAGTGGGAATAAAATATTACCAGGGAATAGGATTACTGAGAATGTTGTATTTTGTGTTTGGTTGGTTTAGCAAGAATGTAAGATCACCGTGTTTGATTAAAGGAATAAAAGATTATTGGAATATATATATTTAACCAAATTGTCCTTATTATATATTTGTATAATATTACAAATTGTAAAATATTTATATATTTTCTTTAAAAAATTAAATTTATAATATTTATATATTTTTTTACAAAATTAAAAATATAAAAAAGGTTTAATGAAAGGGTAAAAAAAATTTTAACCCCTGAACTTCATATAAAATTTTAATTATAGATTTTTTTTTGTAAATCTAAAATAATTTAAGGATAAATTTGTAATTTAACCTTCGTAGAATTTTTATTATTAAATGACAGAAGAATGATATTTTTTTCAAAAAAATAAAAATTTAAGGGCATTTTAGTCCAAAACGCCGGTAATGTTACAATACCTAAGGGAATGGAGGTAATGACATTCCTGGTAATATACCCCAAAAAATCTACTATTGATAATAAAACATTACTGGGAATGAGATTCCCGGCCAATCAAACATGGGAATGTGGGATTCCCATCCCATGAGAATCCCACAATCCTTGAACCAAACACCCCCTTAGGGTCTACATGTGTTATTAGTCTTTCATTTCTAGAATTATAGTTTCCACCAGTCTTAAGCGTGATGGAAGTAAGAAAACTGTCGTTTGCCTTCAAAGTTGAAAAAGAATTTTGGTGTTCCTCCCGCTCTCTGCTTTGCAGTTCCAAGTAGTCGAAAGCCACCGCATGGTCAATGGTACAGATGTGTTCGCATCAGAAGGCGACCCATAACGGTTAGCAAAACCTTTCGCAAGGCAATCCAAAGCAGCGGGTCCCTTTAACAATGGCTCCATCATCCTTATTCGAGCTTTGGCTCAACTGAGCTTGACATTTCGTCGAGTAGTTGGTTGGCATCACTAAAATGTCTATGGATTTGAATCCAAGAGGAATAGTATATAACTACTTTTAAACATATATATTAGTTTGTTAAAAATATAACAAGTTCTTAAGTTAGCTTGGTAGTTGAGTGTTTGACATTGGTTCATGAAGGCCCTTGGTTTTTTTGTATAACCACCGATATTTGATATATTGATCGATTAATTCGGATCTGGTACTGCAGAGGTAAGGGCAACCCTCCCAACCCAGTTCGCTCCATTCACAATCACTAGAATTCAAACCCCTGACCTTGCTTATGTGATCTAGTGTCTCATCCCACTAGACCAACTAGTTATTGGTATGAAGGCCCTTGGTTTGAATCTCATGGAAAGTAATTTTTCATCAAATGACTCTAATAAAAAGACATCGTTTTGGGTTTTTTTAGCATCCAAATATTTACGCCAAAATGATGTTGTTTTGGTGATGGAGCCACATCATCACCGTCGCGACGTATAGGTGTCATGTCATCGTGTTGTTAATGGATTAACGGAGGAGTGATATAATTGCAGTTAAACATAAACATTAGTGTTAAAATTGACAAAATTAAAACATCAATGGCATAAACGATATCAAGCTTAAAGGTGAGTGGTATTTGATGTAGTTTACCCTTATTTTTTAGAGTACATGGGTCTCTGCCTTTTTTTCTAATTTTATTTGAACAAGAAATATACTAATAAAAATTAGGGTAAATTATACGTTTAGTACCTAAACTATCATTTTTGATATATTTTAATATATAAACTTTCAATTTTTTCAAAACCAAACCTAAAGTTTAGTTTTTATTTTATTTTAGTACCCGATTCAAAATGTAATGTTAAATTTCGAAACAAATGAAAGTTTAGGTGTTAAAACAGACCAAAACTAATAGTTTAAGTACTAAAAGTGTTAAGTTTTTAACATAAGGGTACTAAATATATAATTTAGGTTAAAACAGATCAAAACTGATAGTTTAGATACTAAATATATAATTTATCCAAAACATTAAAAGCATTGAACAAAGAGGAAATAATAGTACCTTTTCCGGCCTCGAAGAACAGCGGCCCATAACCTATATGAGCTTCGACCTAGAGATAACGGATTGCAGACAATTCGGCTCTGAAGTTTTTTGTGCCCTAAACGTTTCACTCTGTAAAAACGAAAATAGGAATTAGGGTTTTCATTCAACATTAAATATTTACATTGACAAATTCAAGTTTTCCGCAATGAAGAACCGGAATCCCAACCAAAGTGGAAACGGTGACAGAAGAATGATGGGTGGGCCAAAACCGATGACTGTGAAGAAGAAAAAGAGCATGAATCGATTGGGAGGAACTGGAACTGGCCTCTCGCTTCAAGCGTTTGCTAATGCCAAATCCACCAACAATAACTACAATCCCGCCTTATTAAGTATAAATTTCCATCCTTTGTTTTTTTTGGTAGGGTTTTCCCTTTTTTTATTGTTGTTGAGTTTATCTCCTTGTTTATTTGCAACTTTTTTTTCTCAGAGAAGAAAAGGGAGTTCTATAAAAATGTCAAGTATGTTAACAAGTATAAGAAGTCATTAAAGCAACAAAATCAGGGGAATAACGGTCTTCCTTCATCCTCAAGAACCCCAGAGGTATGTTTTCATTTAATTTTAAATTCTGATTAACTTTAACTTCTTTCTTTTCCTTTCTCTGTTACATGAGGAATTTAGTCGCTCTAAAATGGCTGAAGGCCTAACATATTAGCATTTGAATTCCGTTTTAAGCTGTTAATGGAGTTCTGTTAGTGCGCTTCAATAAGCTAGTCCAATTGGTACCAGTATTTTGCCTATTGACGCGCTTAGGTCTTTCCAGAGTGTGGATAAAATCTTGAGGTTCTGCTGCTCTTCAGCGGCACCCAAAGAAGACGATACCTTTGTGTTATAGGCACAATGCTCTGACTAGTTCATTAGATGAGCAGTTAAGCATTTTGCTTTTTATTCGGGCTTCGTTGGATGTCATATAGATTTGTGATTTTGTGTTCCAAACTCTTAGATCGCTCCCTGATTGATTCTTTCAAAAGTTATTTATGTTCTATGAAATGCTCATGTTTAGCTGAGAGACTGGAATGGATAGACTTAATGATTCTGCTGGAAACATGTAATCCGAATTTTAGATCGATATCCCTTGCATGCAACTACGCTGAGTCTTCCATATGTACTTTAGAACCGACCGAGTCTCTGATAATGCAAGGATTGTAACTGGATGAGAATGAAGAAATAAATGGCTGGACAAACAAAATGAAGAATACAAAGAAGAAAAATGGTTCGCTCACTTTGAAAGAAGTGTACAAGAAGCAGTGGGAGGAGAAAGAAAAGGCAATGATAGAGAGAGAGGCAGCTATTCAAGCAAAGAAGGAACAGAGAGAGAAAGCTGAAGCTCAGAGGAAGGTGGAAAGGAAGGAAATGTTCAAAAAGACAAGACATGGTCAGCCTATAATGAAATACAGAATCCATACAGAGTTCATCTAGTACCTCAGGTGATACAACTTAGTGGTCTAGAATTTTGTTATCTAGTACCTCAGCTGATATAGGTTACATGTGAAACATTGCAATTTGCCAATGTAGTGTTAAATGCCCGAAACAGGAGACCCTTGATAGTGCTTTATAGCCATGTCTCACATCCAATCAAAACCATATGTTTGTTTTTTTACCTGCTCACTGTGAGGTTGATTTAGCTTAATAAACGAACATAAATCACGTTACACGAATGGTTTGTGAAAGTTCATTGAAGCTCTGTTCATTTATGCCCCTAAAACGATCAATTCACGTAGAAGCAAGAGCAAAGCTCTATGATTGCCATTGATTATTGATTGTAGTTAGTAGTGGTAATCATTTTGACAGCCGAGGGGCCAGTTTGTACGGCAAAATCATGATTCTCTAATTACACCTTTTTCCTTTTTCATTTATTTATTATTCAAATAATATTCGCGAAAAATAATGCTGGGGAATCACTTTTTTACCGGACTTACTTCATAACCTGGTGGAGACTGGCAGCAAGGATTAAAGAAATTTTTTTCCCGGTAATGTGATACCATGATGAGGATGTTAAACAGTAAAAGTCCAAAAAATCAGATAGATGAAATCATCGAGCCCAACGATCACACACGGCACGATAGAATATAAATGACAGTTTTGATTATCAATCACAGATACATGTTCGTTGATTAAGCAGAATAAAATGGATGAATTTTGTGTAATGAATATCAGGAAATTGATCTTAAATTTGGCAAAGCTGGATTATTTCGCGAGTGTTGGAAGGGAATGGAGAATGCTCTTTTTGAAAGTATGCTGGAGCTTGTGGCAAAGGAGAACAAGTTATTGTTTGATGAAATTTTAGTAGAATAGGAGAGTATCTTAAAAGGATATCCGTGGTAGTAACGAAGTTCGAGGAGTTTTACAATGGTGGATGCCACCGTCTGGCTGAGTCCATGCCAACATTGAGACGATAATGTTGCAGCTGGCGACTTTAGGCATTAGGGTCGCTGGCTGAGTTTCCCCTACTGTTTCCATATATCACCCTTCAAAATTTTACAAGCACTGATAGAATGATTGTAATGCCCATATGACCGAATGTAATTCACTAATGGCATTTCAACATTGATATTATTACAATAGCAAGATTTTTCACCCACAAGTTTATATGTGAATATCAACAGTTCTTTAAACTGCGCATAAAAAAGTGGACAAAAGTCTCCAACGGGGTAACTTCATTAACAAATTCGAAAAACCATTCAGACAGTTTCCTAGTTTTTTTTTTTGCTCAACAATCATTTTAACAACGTACACAACCAACATAACATGGTAATCATGTCTCGCTCTTAATGCAAGCAGTTATATGTACAGAAAATAACTAAAATAAAAATTAAATCCTAACTGTTCATATTGAAACCAGAAATCACTTAAGTACCAACAAACTTTGTGGCAGAACATGCCAAGTCCATAGCAAGACTATTACCCTGCAAACCAACTATTTTGCATCTAAAAATACCTGCAGTTCAAAACCAGGGGCATCAGCTACTCAAGATCCATCAATAAATTCAGGATTAGGATTAATCTGCCATTTGGAAATTGGAAGTGTATTCACATGATTGGCAAGTCAATACTACAAGTGACCGAGTTACAAGTACCCCAGAATTCTAGGCTAAAATGGAGTCTTAATAAACATGTTACAGCAAAGTTGTATTTTGCAATATCAACAGATAGCAAACCAGGTTTAATTACTTGTCACGATCCAGAAAATAAAAATGGCATTGATAAGAATTAGATGCTTATATTGACATTCAAAAGCTCAAAAGTTAGGTTAAACGCATACCTGTTTTCATATCACTCACAAGCAATCTTAGTGTCAAAGCTACTAAGGCATATAGCAAATGCCTGAAAAGCTGAGATTGGATATTGATAATCCATAGTGAATACATCCTTCCCCACTTTCCCGAACTGAAGAATGACATTCTCATGCTCCTGCCCAGTAACTGCGTTTTCTAAAGATGCAACCAGCTGAAAATTTTTACTGAAGCAACTGTCACCCGTCCATTAAAGTTCAAACACCAGCACTGGAGTTGTTCATGCCACCTGGGTGACTTGTTCCTCAATACCAGCATTCCATCTTTCTGCTCGGACAAAGGTCCAGATCGGAAACTCTCTGAACGGGTTGATTTTGATCTAAAGAACAGCAGTGATGAGAAGGAATCCAGATTACTGTGGAGGAATTCAGTCTGTGTGGGAGCGACACCTCCAGGCTCAATAGAAGAGGCTGGGATGGCATCCATGATGCACTGCATTCTCCTTGGACCTCTAAAGTGCACAATATGTTAATTTCAATATGCATAAAAGTAGGAGCCAAATGATGGCCACCCCTTGACAGAAAGAGAGAGAAAGAAAAACTTTCCAGATGCTCCTTACCTAGAACCCAGGACATTCAACTCATAAGAGATGTGAGCTACAGGATAGTTGCCAGATGGGACACGAGGAGAAACTTGTTTCATATTAATTAGCCTGGTGGAGGAACTTTTGGTAACCTTGGCTCCAGCATTTGGAGGCTGTGCATCATAGACTGTGAATTTGGTTCCCAAAAAGTTTGATCTGACAAAGCAAATCATGGTAAGTTTAGATTTCTAAAATGACTAATGTATGATGTATCAGTAAAACCACAAACCAGCTGACAATACCTCAACTTTCCAATGTAGGTACTGCTTCCTTTGGATACATCATTGCCAGCTAATGAGATGATATAATCTGTGCAGGTAGGACGACGGCACTTCCTTGCGGTGAGAAGGAACTTTCCATCGTCATTGGACGCTGCCAAGTAAATAGATAATGCAAAAAAGCGCATACAAAACTAAGAAAAGGTACCAAAAGACCAGTCACCTCAAAAGAAACATAAATAAATAAACGCAGCTCACCTTGATTCAAGCCAAGGTAAAGATAGTATGTTTGGTTGCTACGGTTCCGTTTTATGTAACACTGAAGGAGGGAGTTCCTCGGACCAGGCTGCAAAAGCAAAAAACAAATTCTGTGAACATATATCCTAAATTTTCACTTATTTATCATGAATAATTAATGAATAGTGAAAACTGCTCCAAGTAGAATCAGAGAGCTTCTATCCTATTCTCTATTTTCTATTTCTATTAGATAGGTACCTTTCAAGCAATTATAAAGCCAAGCAACTCTCAAGTTTGAAATTCATCTCAGGAGAATTTCTACCTTTAAATTCAAAATTTAGGATTCGGTCACTTATGAAAAAAGAACCTGACGTTATGTGGCGTGATAACAGAACAGTACCCAACATATTTCTAACTTTAGGTTTTAAACTTCTTAATGCATATCACTAGGCAATCCTAGAATGCAAGACACATCTCAAGTCAAACAAATCAGCTGAAGGTACATACTGCCCCTCATTTTTCTCATTATAAGCATCACCCACTATAGCTTATGGAAGCATCACACCTATAAAGAGAATATAACCAGAGGAAGGGATTGCGAAAAATTCTGTAAATGCTAGGGAATGTTCTAACTCAAAACAAACTTGAAAAAAAATAAAAAAGAAAAAAAGAAGATGCCAAACTAGAATGTGCGATCCCACCAGGTGGATTCACTACCTACTGGTGCTTTTTGAGTAAACATAGATGCTACACAAACAAAGGACAATTCGGTGGCAGGTGTGGGAGGAATTTTACAATATTAAGATGGTCGCATCATAGGTCCTATGGCTAGGAAAAGTAGCCCTATTTTTACTGTATTTGCGTTGGAGTTTATGGGTATAAGAGAATGAATATTTTTTCTCAGGTTATAGGCATTTATAATGTAATAATCTTATGTAGAGCTTAGGAAGAGAGGTGTCAAACGTAGCAGAACACCTAGACCGAGAAACCATCTATTTGAGCTGAAACCTTAATTCAATATACCGGTCTTTCCTTGAGAGGGGTGGGAGCATTTTAGCACACTCTTGCCTTGGATGCTATTTCAGTTGATTAACGACATCTTTCTTTGTCAAAAAAAAAAAGATTTGAAAGTAGAGTGTAAGAGAGTCGTTTTAAGATCAATACATAACCAAGTGAAAGCAATTCAATTTAATAAAAAGTAAAAAACACTTAAAAGAATAAAGGATGGGCATGCATCTAGTACCTGCTTCAATGAGATTGGGAATGTCAACTTGCAAGAAATTTCAGGGGTTTTCACAATTTCATTCATAATCTCTCTCCAATTCTTACATACACCAGCACAAACAACCACATTCTTCCGCAGCGGCCAAGTACTCTCCGATGCCTCTATTCTCAACAACACGTCCCTTAAAAGCTCAGGTGGCATGTTTGCCCAACAACTCTGCTTGAACACATCAACTGGAACTGAACTATCCTGAACAACCCTTTGCGACCTCGATCTCATGCCGTACCCAAACTTCACATCAAATCCTTTTCTCGACGTACTCCCAAACTCTCCCGTCATGTCCTGGAGAATGCTCCTAAATGACATCGGTGCCTCCTAATCCTCTAAAATCTAATGATAATTTTACAATCCACTTCACCTATGAAATTTCTAATAACTAAACAATGTACCTAAAACATTCAATTCCAGAATCTCTACACCATACGACCAAACATTTTCAAAATCGAAGCTCACAAACACACAAGTATAACCAAATAGACACTAATGATTAGAAATTTTCAGTTAAACACTCAAAATTCATACACAAATAAGCTATGTGCACTAAACAACATGATCCAGAACCGGAAGTCTAAAACAATCAAAACCAATTCTAAACACTGAAGTGACTTTGTCGCCCCAAATCACCAGTTCTCCTCCGAAACAATGTATAATACCATAACTGACATCTAAAAATGTCATAATACACAAGACCTGTAGATCTCTCTTCTTATCCTATCCAACCAATACCCATACAATCCCGGATAATAAGAAATAAGACAGTTATTGAGAAATTATCAAACCCTACAAAGATCAGAGCACATGGAATAACATCCGGGTACACAAGGATCGGGTTTTGGGAACATGGGGTCGATGGAATCTGAGGAGATCGGCCTTGGGCAGTGTGAAAGAGGGTTGTTGCAAGTACAGGAAGGGGGAAAGTTTTAGGGCTAATTTGCCAAAGTATTTGTGCGGTTTTTTTGTGTGGTGATGAGTGGAGGGCTTAGACCAGAATTTCACTGTTAGAGTGAATGGATGGTCCCATCTGTGCTCCTTATCCAGTACTTGCACCGCACCTTTTGTCTCACCCGAATGCGTTAGACCGCCCGGATACGTTTCGGCTATGTTTTACTGTTTTAATCTGGGTAAATATAACTTTTTTGGTACCTAGCTTTAACATTTACGTGCAATTTGGTACCCAATTTTTTTGGTCCCAAAATCCTGGCAAGATTAGCCCATTACGGAGGCCCAGAAAATAATTTAGGGAATTAAGACAATTTGACTTTTAATTTGGGATCTACTGTATTTATTACAATGCATGGAACTCGTCACCTCGAGATAACAAATTTTAATAAAAAATATATTTTTAAACTTTTATTCCCGATGTGATAAAAATTAATAAAACAATTATATTTTATTGGAACTCTCGCATCGAGGTGACAAATTTAAATAAAAATATTATTTTTCGAACTCGTCACCTTATCATTACAACTTTGTTAAATACGGTAACAAATACCGTAAATCTCAAATTAAAAGTTCATGTGTCCTAGAACCCTAATTTTATTATTTTGATTGCAGTAATGGGCTGAAAACGCCCAAAATTCTCTCCATCACCTTGTTGTGAAACTCTATCCCAAACCCTCAGTTGGATCGGTCTGTATCAAGATCCAACTCTAGCCTTGACTCTGCAAGTAGATTAAACCCATTGAAGCCCTCAACCCTAGTAGGTATGAGGTCCTATCAGTAACCGAGAGTAGGCCGGATGGTTATGGCCTAGCTAGTCACTCGATCCAGTTTAACATAAGCCTAAAGAATTGACCCAAGTCCTACTTTGAACTATAAGTAATCGAGTTGATCGAACCCGAACTAGAATGAGTTGAATCGATGACCTATGAATCGTTTAACCATCCCATTGACTATTGTTCATCGTCATTGATCATTGTCACCATTGTTGATCGATATTATTTTTTCAGAAAAACTTTTACTTGATGTTTTTTACTTTCTGATTTCGATTTTATGGTCTACTTGATCTAATTTTGACCTCATAAATTATTTTTCTATGTTTAACATTCAATTTAAATTATTTAAATTATTTTAATCTATAATTTGACGTTTCTAATATAATTCTTTGTTTTGATCGTCTCTCAGGACAAATCATACTTCAAGAGTTGAATTTAGAAAATCTAATCGTTAAATCAGATAAGTTCACTCATATTCATAAATGTTATAAGTTAATTCTCAGTAAATGCCTTGAATAACTTATATAAATCATTTCATTTCTTTGGTATAGGCATTGGTTTTAGCGTGGGTCATGCTAGAGGAATAATACTTGTTTTTTTTTTTATCTTTGAATCATATTTTTTGAATGAGGTGCGTGTCTCATTTGTGTTGAATATCTATATGACTTCTACTATGATAACTTGTATGATGTTATGATTGTATTGATAAGTATGACAATTAACCAATAAGGATAGGTCAAGTGGTAAGTAGATTGACATCTTTTAAATAAATTTTTAGGTTCGAGTCTTTGTGTATGTAAAAATTTCCCACTGGAAGACTCAACATCAAAACCAAATGTACGACCCGGATCGATCAAAATTAGTCAAGATGAAATATTGAAACTGGCACTACAACATAATGGTTCTATAACGGCGTTTTTCACGGTGTTTATAGTGCAAACGCCAATAAGATTTAACATACAGCGACGCTTTTATAAAAAAAACGCCACTAGATGTCAAAATTGGCGGCGTTTGTCAATAAAACGCCGTTAAAAATCCGTACCTTGGTGGCGTTTGTTATAAAAAAACTCCGTAATAGAGGAAACTCAGTGGTTTGTTACTAAAAGGCCGCAATAGAGGTGAACCTTAGTGGTGTTTGTCATTAAAACGCCACTATAGAGTCGTACCTTAGTGGCGTTTGTTATAAAAACGCCGCAATAGAAGCAACTTAGTGGCGTTTATTATGAAAATGCCACAATAGAGGTCAACCTTAGTGGCGTTTGTCACTAAAATGCCGCTATAGAGCCGTACGTTAGTGGCGTTTGTTATAAAAATACCGTAATAGAGGCAAACCTTAGTGACGTTTGTCACTAAAACGCCGTTATAGATCTCAATGTTCGTGGCGTTTGTTATAAAAATGTCATAATAGAGGTGAATATTAGTGGCGTTTTGTATTAAAAAACTGTAATAGATTCGTACCTTAGTGGTGTTTGTTGTTCAAATGCCGCAATAGAGGTGCACGTTAGTGGCGTTTATTATTAAAACGCCACCTTGGGATGCATAAATCTCCTCCCCCCGCCCGAATTCCTAATGTGTTTCTTCCTAAACCTTTCTTCCTCCATCCTCAGCGAGCATCTTCATCAAATTAGCACGCTAGTCACCACCGTCGCGCCGCCAGTCACCACCGTCACACTGTCAGTCACTCCTCAATGCTCAAAATCCAGGTACGCTTCTAAATCTCTTCTCATGGAATTCATGTTAATAAAAACTCTATGAAACTAATAGGTTTAAAATCTCCAATTGATGAAGGATTATCATTCTTCCATATCAAAAAGAACATATTGAATCTATTCGGCCTAGTGCTTTTGAGTCATTGCAATGCTATCCGTTTTTCACTAGCCATCGCTTAGTCTAATATGTGATTCTCTAGCCTTTTCTTTACTATATCTGATTTCATGACCCATAGAATTTCAAGATTAAACGCAATCTTGCTTTGGGTATATTGTTTCTAGTCTAATTAGTTGTAATGTATTGACCTTTGATCTGGCTTCTCCTCTGGTTTCCTGTGAAAATAGGGTTTCACTTCTGTCTATTTTCAATTGATTGTTTCATGTTTTTTTCCTCGTTAATGCATTAGTTTGTTTTCTTCTTCCTATAGTTTTATTGATTTTGAAAATGTATCTCCTTAAACCAGTCGTGCTTCTGTGAACATTTCATCTAGACTATTTTTTACTAAAAAGATCAATTAGATCTTAGATGATCACAATTATCTGTTATGACATCAACAAGTGTTGCTAATCATAAAAACTCATAGGATTGCAAATATATATAGATAGTTATGTTGTCTCTACATCTCAATACATAACAATTGATAATCAATTAAGTGTTAATCTTGAGTTTGAGGCATTTGAAGAGCAAAATAGAGCCTTAGTCACTTAGCTTTTATCTACTGTCAGTGAAAATATCATGTCTCACATCATTAGTTTGAAAATTACTACAGAGATTTGGAACATGTGCATAGAATTTATAGTGGAAAGACTACTTCTAGGTTAATGAAATATCAGTGAACCCCTCATGTGAAAAGACTAGTTTTGTTATATTGATAGTATGAAATTGTGTATTTTAAATAATTCTTGAAATTGTTCTACGTTCTAAATTGATTATCATAAAAAATTGAGTGATAAAATGGTAGAAAATGAAGCTACGGCTTCATCCCATGCTTCTATTAATGCGGAGGAGATTGAAAATCAAGTTATTACTGATGTTTTCGGTCCTTAAATATATGGTCGAGTTCGCTGTCAGGGATCATTTGTTACTCTAACCAAATTCTTTGGATCCAGCTCGTCTCAGTACATGTCATCCCACAGACAGTTTTCTCAACAAGAAGTTATTCGATTAAAACAACAGCTGAGTGAATTTGAAGAAAAATTGCTCAAATGAAAGCCCAAGTTAAAGCCAAAGAAGCAGCGAGAGAAGCATAATTTCAGAGAAAATATGAAGAACTTCAACAACAAATTGAAGCTATGAGGCAAGTGATGCAGCAGAATAAAAAAAAGAATTCATCATCCTATGTGTTTTCTTAGCTTAATGCTTACTCCATGTTATTGAAAATTGTTGAACTACATTATATTTAACTTTAATGTTTGTAAAATTTGATTTATTTATGTTTTTATGTATTATTACTTAATTCGAATCTTAATTAAATTTACTATAAGTTGTTTGATATTGTTACAGGTTAAATTTGGGTAATACAAAATACGAAAAAAATATGTTAAAATCAATTTCGATTAGCGGAGTTTTAGGGGGAAAACTCCACTAATGGAGTGCGAATATTCCGACGTTTTTACAATTAAACGCCACTAAATGACCAACTTATTGCGACGTTTCTGACAGACACGCCGCTATATATCAAATCTATTGCGGCGTTTGTGACTAAAAACACCGCTATATATCAAAGTCGCTATATATCGAATATATTGCAACATTTTTTTCTACAAATGCCACAAAATATTTATTCTATTGCGTCGTTTGTGGTCGCAAATGCCGCTAAATAACCTGACTTTTAGCAGCGCTTATAAGTAGAAAAACACTGCTAGTAGTTGCGGGGTTTGTAATAGCTGCCTTTTTTTGCGCCGGTAGTATTTTTAACGGCGCTTTTAAACGCCGCTATTGACCACTTCTGTTGTAGTGTGGTGGGAAAAGTATATATGTCATGTGGAGCGTATAGCTTGATGATGTGTTCTTGATTAAAAAAAAAAGCTCGTCTACTGTAGGTCATGTTGCATTATGCATGAGATGAGTTATATATATGAAGAAGATATTGAT